ACACACACACACACACACTACACACACACACACACACACACACACACACACACACACACACACACGTGTTGGACTGCGTGATACTGTATCGGTAAGCATCCTGCACGGTATGGCGTATCGATATCGGCGATAACGTTGAGTTCCTGTGATATACTGTGACTCTACACGATGTAATTAAATATTTAAAATACTCTTAAAAAGTTATTAGGATAACGATTTTTCAATTATATATACATTCATATAACAAGCTATTCCTTGAGGAATTCATCGATTTCGAAAAAAGAAAATTTTAACGAAAGACACACATTTTGAATAGATTTTATTTTAGATTTTATTTATAAATTCGTATCAATTTAAAATAAGTTGATATTCTAAAATTGATGTTCTAAAGTTTGAAATACCCTAATTATTTGTAATAATTAAAATTAAAAGCTGATCAGTTATCAGATATATTTATAGTAATTAGTTACTCGTTTTTCAACAAGTTTTAACACGAATCTACTAAAGAAGACAATATCCTGATCCGCAGTCGAAACCAATTGACATCACTACCTCGAGAGATATGCAGGCTACCCCTTCAGACATTGCTAGTCGCGCACAACAGATTAGCATCTCTGCCAGACGAGCTCGGCAGGATGACAGCATTGGCAGAACTGGACGCAGGTTGCAACGAAATCACGAGTCTTCCACCTCGAATGGGCGACCTTGCGCGACTCCGGTCTCTAGACTTGAGGAGCAACTTGTTGGTGCACCTGCCTATAGGTAGGTACCAGGTTCATTTTTTAATACGATACAACAGCTGTATACCACGAAATCGTAATTAAGTAAGCATTTTATCGATCTGCTTGAAGAAATAGCATTTTACCAGAAATCTGTTTGGAATTTAAAAGTAATTTTCAGTAAATTAGCTGTAAAAAAAATCAACAGCCAGTTAAAGATACTCAATCTATATAAATCAATTCTTACATTAATTATTTGTATTTTTTAGATAAAATAAAAATTTAGCCTTGAATAACATGTTTTAAAAAAATTACTAAAAATATTACGGCGAATAGGTGAACATCTCAGATATTTGACGATCAAGTGCGAAATGTTGGGGTCTCAAAATGTATTTTTACGTAGAACTGACGTACCTGAGACTCGTGAAGCTGGATATTAGCGGCAATCGAATATCTGTGCTTCCAAATGAGATGAGGAAGATGAAGAGCTTGGTGGATTTTAAACTGTCTGATAATCCGTTAACTTCGCCGCCTGCCTCGGTGAGCATTTTAGCAAATGATTTAGCAGATGATCATTTTCGCTCAAGCGTACGATAACTTCTTTCCATGATACGCACTCCTACTCGCTTTACTCCCGCCAGTCCGGCGAATTTTAATAAATCCGTACGTACGCTATTACCTCACCCATCGACTGCCATTTCCTTTAGTCACAGTCTTCCTACGGCTTACGGAATTGATTGCGAAACCGGTGCCTTTCGCTACAAACTTTATTCGAGACTATTTGAATTCTTGAATCAATATCTCGCCACTCGAGAACGTTCAATATCATTCTATATGTTAGAAATCAATAAGACGAAGGAAATGACGGGACGTCCTTTTTCCTTCGCTGAAGATATCGATTTTATGCGATAAAATTATAATTTTCACCGCCGGTTTCAGCTATGCATTCGCGGGCGAACGCACATTTTCAAGTACTTGGAGAGACAGGCAGCGAAACACGAGAGAGCTAGAGGCAGTCGGACGCGACGGACACCTCTGGACACGAGGGGTCACGCGACACTGGACACGAGGTCACACCGGCGGCACAACGTTGACAGCGGATACAGCACCAGCGACGGTGTCGACAAACGTTGGTCCCAGGAAATCCACAGCGCGGTTAGTTTCACCGTCGTTCTCGTGGCCTTTCCGCTATCGCTACATCTTCTGCACACGCTCTACAACTATCTCCTCGCGCAGTTATCCGACGAGTCTACCACTGAATCGTCTGCACATCTCTGATCCGAAGATCCAGTTTGGATGTCGAGTCATATGATCAAAGCACAAAAACTTCCGCTTTTATCTTTTAAGAAAGAAAGCTTTAAAAGATAGACATATTGAATTGCACATGATTAAAGCCGAACAAATAGCTTCTGTAATGAAAAAAAGAATGTTGAAACATGAATAGGAATATTATATTTGCTTATGCACGTAGTTAAAATACTTATTTATATACTAAAGGGATAGTATATGAGGGGTAGTAGATGTAAGTAGTAGTAGTAGGTATATATATTTAAATATGAAGCATTATTTTATGACAACAGTAATATATACTGATATGCTTTTGCTTCATATTTATTGCTTTTTAACAAATGTTGTTGCTTTTTAGACGCTTCCTTTTTTTAGAAGAAAAGAATTTTTAATTCTTTTATTCATATGACCTTTTAGAATTAAAAATTGTTATATATGTTTTTCTGTTATATATATGTTTTAATTTGTTTATTTATATAAGTTATTTGTATATAAGTACAAAAAAGCGTGTTGTTGTGTCTTAGAAAGACAAGCGATGTCAAGTTTGATCTCTAATTATTGTACAAAATGCATGAATAAAATGTTACCGGTGCGCAAAATGCACACAACTCACAATTTTAAATGCCTCCTATTGGCCACCATTTGCGTGCACAGGTGCACGACGGCGAAGTTCGCGGCTTGTGGCGGCAGGAGTGCTCACCGCTTTCGATAACATTACCACACGAGGTAGGCGTGAACGGATCCTGTAGCGGTACATCGACACCCAGCACAATTTCACCTGGGGAGCACACATCTCTGGAAGATGAGTTGGGCAAGGTAGGCTAATACGTAAGACTTTCGTTTTTTACGCAAAAACAAGTTAATCATTATCTAATTCTTTAAAAAAAAAATAAAATTATGAAAAATATTGAACTGCACATTTTTCAATTTTTTTTGAATATTCGAATTTTAATCTGAATATAGAATTATAATTTTCTTCTTTTTTTCTTGTATTTAATAAATAAAAACGTCAATTTGTTAATTCTATTCATATTTATGATTTAAAACTAAAAAAAGATTTGTAATGTCTTAAGATCATTTTCATGACTCAAGATAGAAACATCAAGAATAAAAGATAGAAGTATCGATGTGGTTTTGATAATTGATTAGGATAATAGAAAGATACTGTTATCAAGAGTTTATCACACTATTTACATTTCTACTTGGAGCGTTTAAGCAATAGACCGTACCATTTAAAGGGAATTTAAAGGATGACATAGCCGCTATATTTAGCTGTCGAATAGATCTCAAGTCGAGCTTCGGCAATGATAATCGTCTCGACAGGCCGTTGTTGGCTGTTACTCAAATCTCGTTATAAAACCTTGACCTAATAAAACATCACGTTAACAACGCTTCAAAATCACGAATGCATACTGCATCCATAACATTCGTATTTAATGGCGAAATCGCATACTTTTATCGTTTCGCATACAAAGTAAAGATAGACTGATTTTTTTGACGAACAAGAATTCATTTCACAAAATCTTATTGATTAAAATTTAAAATAGTCAACAGAAAATTAAATAAATTTTGAGACAAAACGTAACGTTAAGAGTTAACACAAAACATTATTTTTTATCCAGATAGATGGAGATTTCAAATCCAATAAAAAAAAAATCAAAAGATAAAAATGATTAAAAGGATAAAGCTAAATTAATTTCAAGCTTAAACCTATTTTTATTTTTATTTATTTTTTTAAGATGTTTTTTTTTACAAAGATATTAAAAATTATAATTCACGCATTCACGCGAAACCTCTTGCAGGCAATGATACTGCACGATCAACTGGAAAAGAGGAGATTGGAGAGGAGCACGTCGGAGAATGGGGCAGACATTAGAAGACCGATGATCTCTGGCCTTCATCACACATCGATTACGCCACCGGGGTGAGTGAAATCTCTCGCTACGATGATCAGCGGGTCAATTACCCGATCCGCGTGCTTTCCCTCGAAATAAATGAGCGCGTCCCTCGGTGTTTGTCATTGATATTGTGATACGAATTGTCACGGTAGTTTACATATATACATACGTATATTTGCATGCATGCATGTGCATTATCGTGGTTGGCAATCCATTTTTACAGCCATCTGGAGTCCACGCATTTGACGAGTCAATCGCAGCAGATATCGTCCGCGCAGCAATCAGTACATCCGCTTCAAACGGCAACGAATCCCGCTGCGATGGTGAACGGCGATGATAAGGGGTCGTTCAATCACATACAGACGTACAGGTAACTTCGCTTTTGGATACCAACAAAAGTCCCTGTTCGTCCGAGTTTATCTCACGTTATCACGTTTGCGTTATTCATTTACTCATCCGTTCGCGAGTGCTCTGGCGCGCTTGGTAATGCTGTGACGTATTATGTGCGTTGAGCAATTATGAGTGACACTGCCATATTAATCCTCTCTACCATCCAAATGATTGAGTATCTTCAATTGAAGCTAAATATTCAAGAAAAAAAAATATATATATATATATATATATATATATATATATATATATATATATATATATAATAATAATAATATATATATATATATAT